AAATTAAGCATACACTGACTCAAATAAAGAATAATATACAGGGATTCAACAGTAGAGTAGAGGATTCTGAGAATCAAATCAATGATTTGAAATATGAGGAAGCAAAAAACAATCAAAAGAGCAAAAAGAAAAAAGAACCCAAAAATATGTAGATAGTGTAAGGAGTCTCTGGGACAACTTCAAGTGTACCAACATTCACATTATGGGGGTGCCAGCAAGAGAGAGAGAGAGAGCAAATATTGAAAACCTATTTGAAGAAATACTGACAGAAAACTTCCCCTACCTGGTGAAAAAAAAATAGACTTACAAGTCCAGGAAGCATAGAGAGTCCCAAACAAGAGGAACCCAAAGAGGACCACACCAAAATACATCATCTAAAATGCCAAGGGCTAAAGACAAAGAGAGAATCTTAAAAGCAGCAAGAAAAAAGCAGTTTGTTACCTACAAGGGAATGCCCACACAACTGTCAGCTGATATCTCAACAGAAACTATTCAGGCCAGAAGTAAGTGGCAAGAAATATTCAAAGTGATGAATAGCAAGGACCTACAACCAAGATTACTCTATCATTTAGAACTGAAGGTTAGATAAAGAGCTTCACAGACAAGAAAAAGCTAAAGGAGTTCCTCACCATCAAACCAGTATTATATGAAATGTTGAAGGGTATTCGTTAAGAAGAGGAAGAAGAAAAAGAAAGAGATCAAAAATATGAACAACAAAATGCAACAAATACATACCTATCAACAACTGAATCTAAAAATCAAAATAAACAAATAAGAAAGCTAGTGAACAGAATAAACTGGTGAATAAAATAGAATCAGAGACATGGAAATGGAACAGACTGACTATTCTCAGAGGGAAGGGGGTTGGGGGTGGGGAGAGATTAAACAAAGATCTTAGATGCATATATGCATCACCTATGGACACAGACAATAGGGTGGCGAAGTCCTGGGGCAGGGCGGGAACCGGGTGGAGGGGAGTTATTGGGAGAAAAAGAGGGACATCTGTAATAATCTCAACAATAAAGATTTTAAAAATAACAATAAAAATAAAAAAGAAATAGCTTTCAGCTAGCGTGGGAATGTGAGGTAGATCTGGGCCCCAGAAAGCAGAGCTGGAGGAGAGAAAATGGGGAAGAAGGGAGGCCTCAGGAGCCCTGTCTTTGGGGCAAGTTTTTACAAAAAAGCCCTGAACACAATGGGCCCTCCAAAAGCCAGAATAAAGATGATGCTCTGGTCCCCATCATTAGCATTTTTTTAAAAATCCTCACTCGAGGATATTTTTTCATTGACTTTTAGAGGGGGTGGAAGGGAGGAGGGGAAAGAGAGAAGCATGGATGTGAGAGACACATATCAATTGGTTGTCTTCCACAGGAGCCCTGACCTGGGGCCAGGGGTCTAACCACTGAGTAAACCAGCTAGGGCCATCATTAGCATTGTGAAGAACCACTGATGGACTAGGAATGGACAGCTAAGATGGAATACAAAGCTTCCTGCTGGCACTAGTCCCAGTGCCACCTCTCAGGCTCACCATCTATCCCCATCTTGTCTCCTGGGCTCCTGGGGCCTATAATGCACTTTGTCTTTCCCACCTGCCACTGTCTACTCATCAGCCTCGTATGCAGGGTCACCAACACCTCTCGCTCCAGCTGGCTCGGAAAGTGCACAGTGCCTCTTTGGGTTTTGAGGGTATTGTTACTAACACAGAGAGAAGTGACAGCTGTAATTGAAACTACCAAACATGCTCATCAAAACATTTCCAGAATTCTTTATAAGTTCTACTGGTGCCACTCTTGGCTTTCACTAGATCCTATCATCCCAGCTGCTCCCCGTCATCCCAGCTGCTCCCCATCCCTACCTCACCTCCTCTCTGCCCTTCACCTCCCATCCTGGAAGCCCTGTCCCAGGAGCTCCCTGCTCCTCCTTCAGGCTCCCAGAGCCAAGTGGGACTCACCCACCACCCAGAGAACATCCCAACAGCTGTGTGTTTACTCAGCATTTGATATAGAATTGTTCAATAAAAAGAAAGAGTTCCAACTAAAGTAAAAATAATCCCAGCAGAGGTCTCAAATATTAAATCTTCCTTCTGGAACAGAAACCCTGTAAATATTAGAGTTTGCGCTTTGTACAGTGGTGAGTCATGCGAGCAGTCAGGTTCCCTCTCAATTATATAATGTATTTATCTGGAAACTAAACTCCTCACTTTGGATCTCCTACTTGCCACATTGGATTCAATCCCATTCGGTGCTTGCCCAGAACTTGTCTTATTGTTGTTCTCAGAATGGCTTAAGCACCAGCTGTATGGGCAGAGCTGTGTGCAAGTGCCCTTGAGTTCTGTTTTGCCCTTCTAATGCTGCTCAGAATTCCCTCTGAGAGCTCTAGGTGTCAACAGGCATGATCATTATTGGAGTCACCTGATACAATACAAGAAGAGCTGTCACACAGGCTGCCAAAGGGGACACATTATTGCCAGGTTCTGTGCCCTAAAGGAGGGGCCCAGGGCAATCCAGGCAGACTGCGTTTGAGCTCTGACAGCCAGGAGCTTTCATGAGGGCATCAGACGTTGCGAGTGAGCTGACTCCTCAGCATGGAATGAGGAAATGCCAGCTGCCCTCTTTGCTCTAAGTAGAAGAATGAGTTAGCACTTCTTTGGTCATAAAAGGGGCTTGAACCTGTGCAAGAATAATAAAACTTTATCAGCAGCTGTCCAAGATGTGGCCTTAACCCCACTCAGAGCGCCACAAGGGGTAAGATAGCAATGGGATTGCCATCCTCCTTGTTGGAAGGGTGCTGGGTCACCTTGCACATGCCCACTTTTCAAGTTGCTTCCAGTCTAAAGGAGATGGTGTGGGACCTGTCACTCAAAAATACCATGGCCTCTAACCCACCCCTTAGTCCATGAGGGCCAAATGGGACTTCTCTCTGTTGAGTGCCCTCTACTTCTGGAAGAAGTAGGCCTTCACCAAGCTTATCCAGGAGGATAAGGTTGGAAGGTAAGTAAAGAGAAAGTTAGGGGCTACAATGGCTTTAGGACAAACCCCTAATGTCCGCAAATGAAAAGATTTCGAATTCCCAGCCTCCTTACCCCCACCCCGGTTGCCTAGCTAGGGGGTTGCCACAGGCCCATTATCTCTTGTCTTTCTCTTTGATACCCAATCTGACCCCACTGACACTCTCCTCTCCCATCCCTCAAGGTACCTGTCCCTACCTAGTAAGCTTCTGGGTTGCTACGACTTCCTAAGTCCTTTCAGGGCCTCTACAGGCCCCTACTCTGAGTGCGGAAGCATCACCCTGAACAGGCCCAGTTCAGTATGTTTTTGGGCCAACTCTGGCCTCAGGTACATAACCAAACTGCAGCTGCTTTCCCTCAGGGGCTGGGGGGTAAAGGCAGGTGGGAATGGCATGGTCTTCGAGGCTCCAGGCTCTTAGGCCTTATTCATGCACTTCTCATTGGGTGGCATGTTCACTGGCCAGAGGGTACGTCTGGTTCTACCCTTCACTGAAATTTTTTCATCTCTTTTCCTGAGGCCTCAGGGCCTAGTTATACTACAGGCCACCCTGACACACCACCTAGGACCAAAGTTCATTCTATTTCAAAAGCTTCCACATTATTTCTCAGTTTCCAGTTGAGGAACATCCACAGTCCTCAGCTATTTGCCAAGCAGAGATGACTGACACAACCAGGGTCCAATGAAGAGCCAAGCCTTCCCGGCTCAGGTTGCCCTTTTTCTCTCAGAGGCTGGGGAAAAAGTGGTTCCTTCCTGTGAGGGTCTTGGCATCGCCTATAGCAAACGGGCCAGCCCGCCCCCACTGAGGCCCACAAGGGAGCCAGGCAACCTGATGTAGGGCTCAGGAAAGGAATGGAGTCCCGCATGCCAAACCTCTCAGCCGTGCTTCTCTGCCTGGCCCTTGTTATCTGTGTTTGGAATCTGCTCTGTACACATCTATGTTCGAGGTTTTGGCGTTTGCCTTTGCTAGCAAAGCTCCTCTGAAATTCCACCTGGCCTTGGCCAACCTCAGAGAAAAGGCCCTCAGGCAAGGAGAGTTCGTCAGAGGCCAGATGCCATTAGGAGACATCGTGGCGCCAGAGACCAAGGGAGCCAAAGGGACTGGAATGAAATGCTTAAACCTGGGTGACAATCCCAGACAGCTGGAAAGGGACAGTCTTCCTCAGGAACACAACAAACAGCCTCACAGTAGTCTGTCCCTTCTCCCCTGGCCAGCTGCCCGGCTCTAGCTTTTTGCCTGAATACCTGGGAAGAAACTGGTAAGAGGATAAGGAAGAAGCAGGGCTGGCTCCAGCGGAAGCGGTTCATGGGGATGAGGGATCCTGGCTCTGGATGCTCACAGCCTCCTGGGGCTGGGAACCCCAGGGGACCTCTCTGCCTCCCGTCTCAGAAGGAGAACGTGCTTGAATGGGTTCTTTGACCACAGGGGGTCCTCCAGGCGGCTGGGCATCTCCTACCAGATGGGGCAGAGCCTGCAGTATGCGAGAGCGGCCACCAGAGGGCCACACAGAGACAACTAGCTCCGACACGCAGCCGGTTGCCAAGCAACTGTGACGTAAAGGGCACCCAGTTCGAACCCTCCTAAGGCCCCCAGGTTATTTCTGGTTTAACAGACTGTGGCACAAGGAGTGGCCTCAGGAATCCCAGAACCGCCTCTCTTTTAAGCCGAGAGAATCTAAAATGGTCCAGGGACCCCAAATCCAGCACCACCCTGGCGTCTGGGGGACTGGGCTACTGTCCCTGCTCCTCTGAATGCCAGGAATCAAGAAAAGAAGATAAAAGTTTCTACATTCCCTTCTGTAGCTCCACAGCGCTTGGGCAAGCTCTGATTTCCCTAGCGGCTAAAGCAAAGCAACCACCGCTTCTCCCCTCCCCCACCCACCCCTCCCAAGCAGGGGCAGGATTAAAGGCATGTGACCTTGAGCCAGACCTTGAGCCTCCAGGCTCCTCCTCAGCTGCACTTGAGGGGCCTCGAGGGGTGATGCTAAAGCCCAGATCTGACCTTCTGTGGTCTTGATTCTCTCCCTTTCACCCAAGAATTCTGTCCTTGCCTCAAACCTCTCCTCAGGTTTTGATGACCCTGAATATAGAATTCTCCCAATTCTTCCAATTCCAGATGGATAACTGTGACCTGAGAAACCAGACATGGAACCAAGAAAGTGAAGCAGACACAAGACGAGGGGTGTGGTTATAATGAGCTCAAAGCCTGTGCCGGTAAAGCCTGTGCCGTCTGTGAAAGGGCCTGGTGAGATAAGGTCAGAGCCTCTGGCACAGTCAGGGCCCCTCTGGCCGTGGCATCAGTAGGGGTTCCAGGCACGTCTTTGGGTCATGAGGAACCCCCGCCCGCCCTGGGGCTGGGCTCTGACAGGGGCCCAGGTATCAGTCACTGAGATGGCGGGGTCTCTCAGGGGCACCGTGTCGGAGAATCACACAGGCATGTGCAGCTCGTTGTACTCATCCTGGCCGTCCTCGTCGAAGTTTGGTTCAGCATCTTCCGAGTCCAGCTGCAGAAGGAGCGGAAGGTTGGAAGAGGCAAGGAAGCCAAGGGGTGCCCCCAGTTCCCCAGCTCCTCCTTGGCCAGCAGCCCTCGCTGCTCCCAGACCTTTCCAAGCCTCACAGTTTGCAGGGACTGTGGCCCCAGAGTGAAGCACTTCCCATCTGCTTAAACCTTCAGGTCACCACCCCCTCCAGTGACAGCTCCTAATAACAATACCAATGAGAGCAGCTACCAGAGGTGAAGCACGTTCTGGGGGCCGCTCCCAGCTAGCTCTTGCGGTGTACTTCTGTGGACTGTGTTTGGGTGGATGATTTGCAAAAAGATGCCCCTTCCTCCAGATGACAAAAATAGGGCTCAGATGGATTTCAGCACCGTCCCACCCCCACCCGCCCCTCAGCTATGTGCTTCTGTTCAATGTACAGCCTGCACAGCTGTCTGCAGCAGCCTTGTGCTTACTTCACACCAAACCATCGTACTCAGTACTTCACCTGGATTAGTGCTTAAGCCTCACAGCAATCGTATAAGGTAGAATCTTCTATTAGCCCTTATATAGATGAAAGTGAGAGTTCAGGTTAGGTTACCTGTGTCAGGCACACAGCTGTCAGGCGGTGCAGCAGAGATTGGAACCCAGGCCCCATCCACACTGGCCCTGCCCCAAGCACAGTCCCTTACCGCCTGCAGCTCTCTGTCCTGGAAAATCCGGGGCAGAAGGCAACGCCTCAGAGGCACCGTGAGCAGCAGCAGGAAGGGAAAGGCGAGCGAGGCCGCCGTGGACTTGACCACCCAGAGCAGGGCGATGCAGCCCAGCTGGATGCAGGTGAACAGGTGCATCCGCCACGTCTTCACCTGGGAACAGGCATCAGGTCTCACCACACTCCCACCCACATCTCTTGGGAGTTGGCTCCCCAGGTCCCAATATATCTTCATAGTCATCCTATCCTGCCCATGTCCGGCCCAGGGATCCCCTGGACACCCTTCCCATCACCCAGCTCCCCGCCTCCATGCTTCCTGGCCATACCTTGGTCACATAGGGCTGCTCGGGATGGTGTTTTGCTGGCATGAAGATGAGCAACAGACGCTGGGACAGCTGGATGCCAGACAGCGACGTGACCCCCATGTACAGGAAAATCCCAAAGAGCACGGCCAACGGGATCTGGCGCAGCACAGCCCCCATGACGATGGACAGGCCTGGAGGAGGAGTCACAGACCTGCCTGACCCCTCAGACAGCGCTGTGAGGACAGAAGGACCTGGTGGGAAGGGGGCACGGACCATCTAACTGACCGGCTGGGCCTCATCACCACGCACAAGAGAAGATGGAGCAGGAAAGAGAACCAGGAGAGGGCACGAGGAAAAAGGGCTCATGGGGGTCAGGAAGCAGGGCTGGCAGGCAGGGCAGGGGCTAGACAGGCCACATTTGGAGAGTCAGAAGGGACCTGGCCCAAGCCCGGATGAGAGAGCTGATTTAAGGCCTTGGGGTCCAAGAAGGCAAGTCTGGGGAGCAGGGCCAGGCCTTGCAAGGTGGGCGCTCTCACCCACGAGGCTGGAGATGAGCACGCCAGTGACCCGCTGCTCCCGCACCTCCTGGATCTGGGGTTTGTCTCCAGGCGCAATGGCGGTGCGCATGACAGTCAGTGCATTGACATGGGTGACTGAGCGGACGGTGGCAGCCGTCAGCCAGGGCAGCCCAAACAACCCACACAGTCCCCCCAGGGAGCCGATCAGAAGCAGGTCCAGGTGGAAGCCGGAGCCTTTGAGCAGCCTCCGTGCCTTCTGGCTGACAATGAGCCTACAGAGAACGAAGTGGGAGTGAGTGGGCCAGCAGCCGGGCCAGGCGCACACAGCCGGGCGGGGAGCGGGGTGGGGGCAGAGAAGAGCTCTCCCAGGATCTGCCAGCTTCCTCTTTCAAGTTCCCAAATTAAAGTTCTCACATTTAAGCAAGTCTGAGCTAAATTCCTTACACTGTGGATGTTTAAAATACCATAAAAGCCAGATGCCAGATCTCACCACGTTATTGTGACTTAACCAAAATGAGATCATGTGAGCGTCCCCGGGTGAGAGAACATACTGCCAGAGCGTTCTGAGAACTGTCAAGTGCCACCCTGCAAATGCCGGTGGCACCAGACAGATGGCACGGCCAAGCACCATAGGCAAAAAACTGTCTGTCCCCTTGCTGCCAATCCCACCATCCGCACTCGTCCGCCCAGGGTCCCCGCCCTCTCACGCAGTGATCTGTGTCTCCATGAAGATCAGGATGAGGACCAGCAGGGCGGGGACAGCAGCTGCCACCATCATCCAGGGCGGGAAAGGACGGGCACTGCCCAGAGGCGGGATGAACCACGTGCGCTTATGGGGGGAGGTCACCGAGAGCCCCGTGGGCACTGTCAGCTTCTGCGAGGCCAGAAGGAAGGCGGGGTTCAGGGACAGTGCCCCCCACGCTAGGAGCCCACGCAGGGGCTGCTCCCGCAAAGCCGTGTGTCCCCAGTACCAGGGCTCCAGGGAATTGGGGTGTGAACAGGTTTGAAGGAAATTAGTTTTGCATCCTCCAAAGTTGCTGTCCCTACAAGAGTCCGGTATAGGGCAGAGACATGACATACCTTCTCCCAGATCCCCAGAGCTGCCAGGAAACCTGGGGGCCACCTGTCATTCTGCCCCAGCCCCATCCCTGCTCCTCCAGGTCTTGCCTACGGGTCACACACAGCCTCAGACCGCTGGGTGGCCTCCTTAGTGGGACCACATGGCTGCTTCTGAACCCCCAGCTCACCCATCCAGTGTGACCCCAGCAGGTCTCTGCCATTCCACCAGGAAAGCTGGGTCCCAGCCCTAATCTAACTGCCGCTCAGGCCCAGGGGTGAGAACCAGCTGCCAGAGAGATCGGGCTCACTCGCCTGTGTGTAGGTGTCTGTAATGGAGTAATCCACCAGGACCATCACCAGAATGGAGATGGGGATGCCGAAATCCCCGATGATGCGGCGAGCCTTAGGAGAAGGGAGCAGAGGTGGAGGTGAGGGCTGGAGGCTCACAAGGGCTTATTACTCCTGACCTCTCTTGGGTCTGAGCTGGTTCCGGAAGTTCCCCAACCTGTCTCTTCCAACCCCATGAGTGCCAGCCAGCCCAGGTGGGCACTTCTCTTCTGAGTAGACTTCTCTGAGGCTCTGATGGGCTGGCGCCACATAGACTTGGCTTAGAGCCAGAGGCTGACCTGGAGAAAAGGGCAGCCCCCCTCTAGAGGGGGCCTGGCAGGGACAGCAGAACTAAGAGTCCCCCAGGGGCTCCACGGGCCCCGCTCTGGAAGCCACGTACCTTGCCCCCCAGGAAGCGGCTGTTCCTGAACTTGCGCAGGAAGAAGGCGATGAGGAAGGTCCCAAGCATGAGGATGAGGGACAGCAGGGCCGTGTTGGGCTGGTTCCGCGGGCCTAGTGGCCCCTCAGTGGCGGGCAGAGCACTCCCATTCAGGTCCAGCCTAGGCGCCAGTGCCCCCTCAGGGGGGTAGAACGGCAGCAGTGGGTGCTCCGTGAACACCTATGTGGGTTACAAGGCTGCCCTAGTGTTCACCTGGGCAGGTGATCCTGATTTCATCAGCTGCAAGGGAGAAGGCTGTTCCCTCACCTACCTGACCAGGCAACAGTAACACACAACATCCAGCTACATAAGACACACACACACACTCTCAAAAGGTGACCCAAGGACACCCAGCCCTTAGCGCTCAGTGACCACTTCACACACCTGTGCAGGTAAATCCTGGAGTTCTGACCAATACCCTATGGGTCTGATTCCTTCCCCTTCAGCTCAGGCCTACCCCGGGGTGTCCCCAACCCCCCACGCCCACACACAACAGAGCCCCCTCTTTGGGCCCTCTGCCCCAATCTCCATGCCACCGGCTCCCATGCTCCTTGCCAGGATGCTGCCCACCCACATCTACACCTGCCCTGCCCCCAAACCCTCTCTGGACCCCTACCTTATAGAGTTTGTAGAAGGTCTCATAGATGAAAATGAAAGAAATGAGGAAGGCGAAGATCTCCTGGGTGAAAGGCGAGATGTAGCGGACCAGGAAGCTGCCCTCAGCGGCCACCAGAGCAAGAACAAAGACCACCAGCCAGAGGCCAACCCACACCCGGCCGGTGAGGTACTCCAGGTCATGGGATTGGCAGAACTGGTGGCCAGGAGGGAGGAGTGGTTACCCACAGCAGTCTTCTATGAATATCAGGGCCCCATGAGATAGGGAGGAGGTGGGGTGAGGGGTAACTCCAAGGGTAGGAGGGGGACCCAGCAGGGACCTGTCACCTGGGCTGAGGGGCCAGGGGAGGAGCAGGTGATCCCAGGGGAGCAGCAGGACAGGGCTGTCACCTTGAAGAAGGCTTCTTCGAAGACCAGCAGTGGCCCTGAGAAGCCAACCACAAGCAGCGGTTGGGCCCCCAGCAGAGAAAAGAGGACTCCAAGCACAGCCGTGGACACGATCAGCTCAGACACTCCCATCAGCCCTTCGGTTTTCTCCCCTGGGGAGAGCAAGGGTCAGTGGGAGAGCCCTGCCTGGCTCCTCCCTGGCCCCTCTTCCTTATCTAGCTTAGCCTAACCTGGGGACCCAGCAAGAGTGGAGCAGCCCCCCAGAGCAGTACATAGGGCCCCCTTACTAACCCCTTACCTCCTGCCCCTTCACCACCAGCTCCCCAAGGTGATCTGCATAGCTCCCCCAAAAGTGAACTCTGGAATCCCCTGACCCAGCAGCTCAGGATGGTCACACTGACGACTATCTCCTCTCACCCATAAGCCCCTAAAGTGATCACTGGGACACCCTGTCCCAGAAACCTTGGAGATGACACTGAGCCCCGCCCCTCCGCCTCACCTAGCAGCCCCCCGAAGGTGATGGCAGGGCTGAGGGCAGCGAAGTAGATGAAGAGCACGGCGGCCACACACTGGTAGTGCAGAGCGTCCCGCAGGTCACTGGGGTAGTGCGGGTAGCGGCGCTTCACGTCCCGGACAAGTCCCCCAAACACCGAGCCGGTCCGCCGCAGGGGGTCATCTTCAGGGGTCGCCTCAGAGCCCCCCAATTCCAGCGACAGCCCTGGGGGACAAAGGGGTGCTGGAACACAGACCACCCCTCCGCTTGCAGGCCCTCCATCCTTCCCGGCCTCGCCCGTGGGCAGAGGCCTGGGTCAGGGGCTAGAAGCTGCATCCAGGACTCTGGGAGTCAGGACGGAGCTGAGGTCATGGACTTAGCTGTGTTGGGGGGGAGCATGGGGGACTCTGGACACCAAAGGGTCTGACCTTTCCCAGGAGCCACGTAGCCTCCCCGGGTGGTCATCTCCACTTTGTTCTGCTCTCGCTCCCGCCGCTTCCTCAGCAGCTCCCGCTGGAAGGCGGCCACGGAGCGCAGCAGGTCGCGGCCCTCCACCTCCGACGGGGGGATCACGATGCTGCCATCCAGGAACTCGCTGATGGCGCTCAGGAGGTCCTGCCGGTCATCAGCCTGGTAGGCAGCCTCGTGAAACAGCTGGGGGCAGAAAAGCAAGGGCTGATCTGACCCGGGAGGCCCTGGCATGGGCTTTGGGGAGAGGGGTAAGGACGTTCCGCCACATACGCAGGTCCAGTCCAGTTGTCAAAATTCTGACTCACAGGCCCTGCTGGCTGGCAAGCCACAGCCCTCAGCACTGCCCCTTCCCAGGGCCCTCTATTCCCCTGGGAGCCTCCAGGCTTTCCCACAATCCAACAACTACGGGGTAACACCTGGCACTGCAGAGGCCTCCAAGGCCATTCTGCCTGGACAGTGCCCACGTCCTGTTGGGAAGGATTTTGAACATCACTGTCCTATCCAAGCCCAGGAGAAGCCACAGTGAAGACCAACATAGCCAGCCCATTCACATCCAGTCTATGTCACATCCAAAACCTGGAGGTCTGGCTGCTTCTCCCTGTCCCATCTCCCCTCCCACAGCCCCAGCTCAGAGGGCTCCCTTTCTCCCCTCGGCCAACAGCCTCTCCACTCTCCAAAGCGCTGCTCCACCCAGGAGGGCCCCTGCACCCCTGCATCCATGGTATCCTGGGGCAGTGAGAGGGACAGGAACCAGGAGGGCCCGGGGGACAGGCCTAGGGTGCCCAGTCCACGGGCTGGAGGACCAACCTTGTCAGACATGAGGGTAGCGATGGAGCGCCCCAGCTCGTGATAGTCGGTGCTGGTGTGGCGGGGCCCAAGCATCACGAAAAGGAAGCGGACCGGTACGGGGACCTCAAGCACAGACTCCAGGAGCACCGCCTCACTCAACCGCACAAAGGCTGCTGCCGGCTGCTCCAAGAAAGGCACACAGCCTGGGGAGAGAAGGCCCGGGGCTGGGCACAGGGGCGCGGGCAAGGCAGCCCGGGGCCGGTGGCTCAGGAACATCATGTGCAATGGGGCAGGTGTGCACTGAAGAGAGAAACCCCGTTCTAAAGGAGACTTATTCATTTATATGTTTGTACATTTACCACAATTTACCAACAGATGGAAATTAAGGGGTGCTTTCCTCTAATTCTCACAAAGGTGCTCTATGGCCTAGCATTTGTCCAAGGTTGCCGAAAACGGAGGGACGCAGGCAGAGGACTGGGGAAGAAAGGGCTGGGGATGAGTTGGGAGGGGCAGGTGGGGCCAGGTGGGGATGGGAGAGGCACAGAGCTCAAGACCGGTGGACCACAGGGGAGGCACCCATGCCCCTGCCTCTGCCGCTGCCCCCAGCGCCCGTCCCTCCTTACCCACAAGCACCACAGTGGCCTCAGCATCTTCGGGGATCTTCTCCAGCAGCTTCAGGCTTTTCCCCCGGTGACTGTCTCCCCCAGACATATGGAGGGGCTTCTGAGGACGCAGAACTGGAATAGGGCTGGGACCCAGACCGGAGGCCGTGGCAGGCCCTCCCTTCCCTGCTCCAGCCCTGGACTCTGCCCGCCAACCCCTGGACCTCCCACCCCAGCCAGGGGAAGGACTATGGGTGATGTGCCTCACATCAGGAGGGGACCAGCCCAGGATCTGGACCCCTTCTCCAAGCCCCCCCACAATCACCTCAGCCTTCTCTTGTTTAAATGGCTCCCCTGGGTCTGCCACATCATCCCATTTAAACCTCCTGCTTCTCCAGAGTAGGGGTCCCTCGTGGTTTCCCCCTAAAGATCCCCCCACATCCTAGCATGATGCCAGGCATCCCACCTTCCTGACCCACTCAGTGGCCTCCTTTGAAACTAGAAACCCTCTCAGTCCCCCAACCCAGGGCAGAGTAAGGCGACTGACCTCCTTGGCATCAGGGTCGTGAGGCCAGAGTGGGGCTGGCTCCCCCAGGTCATCGGCCATGGTGGGCACTGCCCCATCAGGGCCATGGCTGGGGGTGGGGTGGTGATTCCCCATGACCGAGTTCACACTGGAGCTGGATGTGTTTCGGGGAAAGAAGCCACTGTCCTTGTCATCATTGGGGTGGCTGGGGAAAGGGCAAAGCAGGGGAGGCAGTTAGGAGGGGAGGATCTTGGCGATTGAGGTGAAGAGGAAGTGAGAAATGGAGGGCCACAGCCTCTATCCCTCTGCCTCAATGTAAGAAAGAACTTTCTAACGGGTAGTGCTGCCCAACGATGGATCAGGAACCAGCTCCCCGTCACTTGGGTGCTCAAGCAGAGGCCGCAAGCCCCACGGGACAGCCTGCTCCTGTAGAGACGGCGGAACCAGGAGCTCCCTCCTGGGCACCCCCTCCCCCGGCACCTGTGCTTCAGTAGCAGGGTGCGCAGGACGCTGGCCCTGTCCTCTGGCCGGATCTGGTCAGACACAATCATGGTCTCCACCACAAGATGCGCGATGCCCGGCAGAGTGGTCTGCTCCAGGTCCAGGAGGGCGGCGCCTGGGGGCACAGTCAGAGGAGGGGACACGGTCCTATCAGACAGGAAAACCCGCCCCAGCGGCCTTGCTTCCCCAGGGCAGGCAAACACACTTGGAGAGCCAAGCACCCCTGTACCCGGGCAGATACACTACTCCATGTGGCCATAGCCCAGCCAGAGAGACGGTCGTGAAAATGGAGCACGGAATGAGGGCATGGCCCCTCTTCACCCAGGGAGGGGAGTCTACTATGCCAAGGTGCAGTGCCAGGGACCAGGGGCAGCACCCCACCCCTCAGAGCTGACAGCGGGGCAGGCAGTTGGACCCCACATCCCCAGGGTGGCAGCCAGACCGTGCCTGGGCCCAGGACTCCAGGGAGGAGTCCCCGGGAGGTGAGCAGCCTGGCTCAGGCTCTGCAGTCTGTGAAGAGGGCATGCAGCCCAGGGCCAGGCCTGCAGGGCCCCTACCATGGGCGATGGTCCTCCTGAGCTCCAGGAGGCTGCGGAAGGAGAGCGAGGCCACGTGGGGCTTCCCCCAGCGCTCTGTCTCTTCCTCCACGTCCTCCTCAAACTTGATCCAGCGTGCCGTCTCCCGCCAGTGGGGCTCCTGGCTGCGGTCCAGCATCAGCTCGTTCAGCTCCACAAACACCTGGGGCAGGCACCAAGGATGAGGGCCTGGGGGCCACCAGATGGGACCCGGCGCCAGGGCACGGTGGGAAGTGAGGGAAAAGGAGGCCCTGGGAGCAGAGGCAAGAGGAAGCTGGTGGCCCACGCCCGGGTCCTGTACCTCATGAGGCCTCCGGTCTAGCTTCTTCTTCTTCTTCTTCCTGCGCAGGATGGGGGCCAGGCCACCGGGGCTGCCCCTCCCGCCCTGTGTTCGAGATGGCTTCTTCACCAGGTGCCGCCGCATGCCAGGGTTGTCTTCCAGCCGGTGGCCTGCGGAGAAGGTGGGCTTGGCAGTCCCAGGGGTCTAGCTCCCGGCCTCAGGATCATGGCCAGCCCCTCTAACTCCCTGCTCTGCCCAGCCAGTCCACTGGTGGGCGCCACAGTCACCCAGGGGCCATGCCAACAGGACCACCTTGTCAATGTGGCTACTTCACAGATAGGAGACTGAGGCCCAGAGCGGAGGAAGCACTAGCCCAAAGCACAGAGGACCACTAGCCAAGTCACAGTAACAAGGCAGATCCCTACTCAGTCCGCAGGCCCCCCATGGCCACTGCCTCTCACTCAGAGTGCCAGCACCCACATGGAGCCGCCAGGCCCCAAGCCCCCAGCACTGTCCCTGAGCCTCTCTCGGCGCCCAGGTCTAACCCCACAGGTCCTCGGCCGGACAGATTCAGGCAGATGTTCTCTCCCTTCCTCCCCGCCTGCCCCTTTCAGGCCAGCAGCTGGTGGAAGGTCAGCAGCCAGTTTACTCACAAGCTGGTCCCCCTGCCATGGGGCTCAGCTGGTCCCTGGTAGACTCCCACGGGTCACAGTCCTCAAGGTCCCGCACAAACATCTCCAAGTCCTCTGAGGCCAGCGAGTCTCGAGGGCTTTGAGCTGGAGCCCTCCAGGGGCCCAGGCCCTCGGCATCCCAGGGCCTGGAGCTCAGTGCCCCATTGGGCTCCGTGAACTCCAGCTGGCTCGTCATTCCCCAGACACGGGCTGAGGCCTCAGCCCTGTCCCCCCAAAGCCCCGGCTCTCCTGAGAGATGGGAGTCTGAACAGGAATGGTCTCTGTCCAACCGGAGCCCGAGATGTCCAGGCCTCTCAACTCCAACTCCCAGGTCCCCAGGGCTGCTCCCGGCTGCTTTAAGCCCCAACCCTGGATCTGTAAACACGCCCTCCCTCTGACCCTTCCCATCCCGCCAGCACCACTGCTGCTGCCATCGGATTGTTCCTGTCCCTGTCCTCAGGTCCTGGCAACTTTCCATGACGTATTGAGCTCAAAGCCCTCCTCCCCACCCCCGCCCACACACTGTTCTAAGGGGAGGAAGGCGGGGTCAGTGGTGCCTCTGGCCTGGGCACAGAGCCCCATGGGTGATGACAGGTGGCACAGAAACCAGGACTGATAAGATGGAAAGAATGTGCCGAGATCACAGCCAGGCCAGGCCAAGGGTAGTGGGTCAGGAGTGAGGAGGTAAGCCCTTGCTATAGGGAGAAGCAGGGCCTGGCAGAGTGGCTCAGACCCAGGGGGCTGGTGTGAAAGGGTGAAGAGTCTGCCCTGAGAAGAGGAGGGCGCTATATTGATATCTCCAAACATCATGTGGAAGCGGGGCTGCCCTATTCCAGGGGTGACTCCGAGGACAGAATCGGGGCAGAACGGCAGAGGTGTCATGAAGGGAAATCTCAGCTCTGGAAACCGAGGTAGTGAGCTCCCCGTCACTGAGTGGGGGAGAACACAGAGCCTCTCCAAGGTCCCTCACAGGCTGAGTGCTCATGGGAGTGGGCCACGGGGGCTGCCGCAGGGTATCACTCACTCTTCATGTCGTCCAGGTCTGCAGAGCCCAACATCTGGGCCTCCGCCTCGTCAGTGGGCACCTGCTGCTCTGGGCCACCCAGGCTGCCCAGGGCACTGCCTGGGCATAGCCGCTCCCGCAGGTCATAGCTGGCCGATGGGCTCCAGGGCCGGCTCTTCTCTCCTGTGACTCGGGGGGCCCGGGCCCGGGGACTGGGGGAGCTGAGGAGGCAACAGGCAGCCTTGGATGACAGGGAACCACAGTGGAGATAGACCAGGATCGGGGGTTCCTTGGCCTCCAACTTGGGGCAGGGCCTGGAGTGCCCCCCTGGGCACTAGACACAGGCTCCTCCTGGGCAGAGAAGAAAGTTCACCTCCACCTTCCTGCCCCCGTCATGCTGGTCCCCCCCTTCCTCCCGATCCCCCTCTTAGCCTCTGACTCTCTTCTCCTTGCCAATCATGTGGACAGACGGGGCACCCCTCCGTGCCTCCTCGGCCCCCCTCCTCTCCTCTCTGGGGTCAGAGGTGGACACACTCCCCAAGATCAGGAAGCAGCTTGGCATCTCCTCTGAGCTGGGCTGGAGGCCAGTACCTGACCGAGTGCTGGGGGCTCTTGTCCGAGCGAATGTCCCCCGAGGACAAGGGCTTGGTGGAGACAGCCCTCCCGGGGAGGCCGGGACTGTCATCCTCGTCACTTCCAATGGAAAACTGTGGACAAAGCAGACATGTCCTGGGCCCTGCCCCAACGCAGCCGCTTGGCCTGGCGAGGCCTCCTCTCTCACTCCACCCTAAGCAGCCAGCCCTCCCTCAGGGCCAGACCCCTACCTTCGCTTTCTGTGGGGACCCTGAGGGTGGAGGCTCCACAGGCTCGGCCTCATATTCCCCTTCCTCTTCCTCCTCCTCTTCCTCTTCCTCCTCCACCCCGGTTCCCCCCTCCTCCTGGATGGGAGGGGTCCCTTCGGAGGGAGCAGCAGAGGTTTTCTCCTTCTTCTTCTTCCTCCTGCTTTGCCTGGCAGAGCTGGGGGGCACTCGCCGCAGCTTGTGGGGTGGAGGCAGGCGCACGGAGAGCGGGTGGTGGGTGTGATGGGAGGTGTGCCGGTGAACTGCGGGGGCAGGAGAGCCAGTTGGGACCCCCACAGCAGAGGGGGACCCCACACCACCCTAGGGACACACACCTTATTCTAGCTCAAGGCCTCAAGCAAGGGCACCTTAGTCCTTCCTCCAGAGCCAGACTCCCCCTAACACCTGTGTCCATGTCCTGTCATTGGTGAGGCCTAGTAGAGTGGGGGGCCGGGAGTAACAGAGGGGGGCATGAAAGAGGGGTGGTGGGAATGGGAGGACATGATGCAGCAAAGAAGGAAAAGTAGTCAGAGAGCTCAGGACGGGAGATGAGGAGGTGGAGAGAGGAGGGCCAGGGGTGTGGCAGAGCCTTGGGGAAGACAAGGGTCACTAAGGGAGGCCTCTGGCCCATGTCCCTACATCTCCCCTGCGGCTGGGACCGGCTTCCCTGACAGGCGAGCAGGCGATGGGTGAGTGAGCAGGATGACTTAACATGGCATGGTGGCCCAGCACAGCGTCCAGCACAGCGTCCAGCACATGATGGCACTGGGTGACCAAGCCAGTGTGAGCACGGTGATGGTGGCAATGAGGTGATGGTGGTGAGGGCGGCCACACTAGGGGTCCCCAGGCTACCCACACTCAAAGTCCCGCTCGCTGTAGCTGCGGCTGGGCTTCTCGGGGTCCCAGGCGGGGGGCTTGCTGATGAGATCCCCAAACCTGCTCACAGCCAAGGTCTTGCCCAAGTCATCATCCTCCTCCTCCACGTCTGGACTCAGAGGGGGCTCCTCCAAGGGCACCCGGACCTGCGGGCTCAGACAGCTCACCTAAGGACCCTGGACCCAGGAGCGCCCCACTCCCCCAACTCCAATCCAGCCCTGGGTGGAAGGGGGGCGGGGACCAGCAGGCTCCATCTTCTACGGCCTCCGCTTCCAGGGCCCCAACCTGGGACCAGCGCCCCAGCTCCCAAGGCTTGGGGAGGCGGGGCAACAGATCCAAAAAATAGCAAAGGACGCCCCCCCCCCCCCCACACACACACACACACACAACCCTCCGCTTTATCCATTCCGCCCAAGATGGAGCAGGGGTGTCCCAGGGTCAGCCAGAGGGCGCCCCTCTCCTCCTTGGGGTCTCTCCCTCCTCATCCCCCATCCGGAAGCGTCAGTCACCTGGGGGAGGGGGGAGGCGCCCCCGGGCGGCGCGATCACTCCGTTGGCCATGGCCGGGAGGCGCTTGGGGGGCTCTCGCTCACTGAGGGACCCGCGACCCGGGTGAGAAGAAGGGGGCGCTGCGGGGACCTAGTGGAGAGTCCTGGGGGAGAAAGGCAGGGTCAGGTCCTCTCCCCCTCCCGGCCCTCTCCCCCTCCAGGAGCCCCAGCGCCCAGGCCCTGCCAAGCCTGGGACACCCAGGGGCCCGCCCCGGCCCGTGCGCCCCGCCCCGCCCCGCCCCGCCCTGCGGTACCTCGGGGCTCTGGAGCCTGCGGGACCCGCGCTGGCCTGCGCGCCCCATCTCCCTTCGGCTTTCTCTCCGGGGCCTGTCGCCGCGCAGGGCCAGGCAGCCGCGGGGCGCCCACGGCGGAGGCGAGCCGGGCGAGCTGGGGACGCAGGCGCCGGAGCCCGCAGCCCGCGGCTCCACCTCCCGCGCTCGGCTCCGCAGCCCCGCCGCCCCGCCGCCGCCGGGCCGCACAATGGGAGCGGGCGGCGGTGACTCACCCCGCCCCGGCCGCCCGGCCCCCACGCGCGCCCCCGCAGCAGCCCCCCAGCCCCTTCCCCGGGCGTCCCACTCATCGCTGGGGGTGGGGGCACGGCCCTCCAGTCCCACGATCCCCACATGCCCTCCCCCCACCTGGCTTTTAGCCTCCCCTCCCCTCAAGAGCCCCCGGGGGCGACCCCTCCGCAGACTTAAGCCCCTGCAATCTTAGGAACTGAGTTCACAGCACCGGGAAGCACACGCCACTTCCAACATAGCCCCTGATGCCTGGCTTCCGCCCGCAGGCACCGCCCAACATTTGACCTTGGCACTTTACCTCCCGCCCAGGGCCTCCGTTCCCCACCTGTAGCCCGCAGGCCTGGAAGAGGAGTTTCCAAAGTCCCAAGGGTTCTAAGATCTTGTGGCTGCTTCCATAGCTCCTCTCCCTGGTCTCCCACTCCCTGGGGTCACACCTCCTTTTCCAAGGGCAGAGGTCTTTGGCAGAAACTACTGGATCCCAGTTTGACCCTCTGAGGTCTCTCTGAAACTGGGCACCTAGCACGAGGCCATGCGCAATAAGGCCATCCCTGAATCCTTAAGAAAAACTAAGAGGATGTAGAGGGGAGAGGGGAGAAGGAGCTGGTGGGCAGGGGGAGATGGAACTGGCCAGGCCCAGGAGAGGAACTAACTCCTAGAAGGAGGAGGGGGAGGGTGCTGGCCAGATGGTGCTCCAAAGAGGGGGGAGAGTTTAACCCTGAGACGCTGGACGTGTAATTTACCTTCTCCAACCTCTGTCCTCATCTGGGTCTCAGCTCAACCCAAAGGAAGATCTCTCCACATTCAGAGCTGCACGAGGGGGGAGGGGCAACACCCACTTTGCTTTATGCCAGTAGCCTGTGCTCAGCCCTCACCAACCCATCTCAGACCCACGACAGAGGTTCAGGGAGGCTTAACCTGCTGTGGTCACAGGTGGGAAGCAGAGGCCCACAGAGCATCATTGGTGTAGAGGTGAATGCCCGAGCCACAGCCATTTAACCGCTGCAGGCCTGTTTCACTGACGTGCGCAGGCCGTGTGCACAGGCCGGGGCAGGCCCCTGGGTGTCTCGCTCGGTGTTGAGAGGGTAAAACAAGAAGCCGGTGTGGGAATCAGCTGTGTGTAAGCAGCGCATGTGACCAATGCCCAAGTCTCAGGATGTGAGTCTTCTCCATGATGGGTCAAAGTGTGTTCCCCAAAATTCATAGGTTAAAGTCCTAATCTCCAGTACCTCTGAATGTGACCTTATTTGGAACTAGCACAGTTACAGATGTTAAGATGAGGTCATCCTGGGGTAGGGTGGCCCCTCTTCCAATGGGACTGGTGTCCTTACAAAAAGGAGATTTGGGAAGCAGACACACTTGCGCTCGGGGAGAAAGCTGCCATGTGAGGACTGCAGTTATGCTGCCCCAAGCCAAGAACTGCCAGGACCTGGGAGAGAGGCCAGAACAGACCCTTCCCAGCTCCTTCAGAGGGAGCGTGGTCCTGCCCTCGTCTTGGTCAGACTTCCAGCCTCCAGCACTGTGAGATAATAGGTTTGTTACTGAAGCCACTCCGTTTATGGAACTTTGTTCTGGCAGCCCCACACACTACTGCTCCAACCCAATCCTTTACCGCTGAGCCAGGTGATTGGGTTCCAAGTCTCCACCTGAGTGCTGTCTGGGTGGAGCCTTCACTTCCTCAGAGATAAGCAAGAGTCTTGGAGCCTTTCCCAGCAGGGACGTGTTGGAGGGTTCTCTGGTCTTCAGTCTGCCTTCTACATCTGGGTCATGGCCTCAGTCCCTGACTTCCACCCAGTAAATTCCGACAGTAGCGCCTTTAATACCAAGACAGTCTGAAGTGGGCCTTGCCAATGTGGGACCTTGTGAACTGGGCCCTGGACATTGATGCCTATGGGCACCACTTGGCTCATCCTCTGAGGTCCTGCACAGGTCCTGGTCTTCCTGAAACCCTCAGACTCCTCTCCTCTTCCCAGCTGGGGACTCCCCCATCCCACCCGCAGTCAGCAGCTTTGGTCTCAGGCCTTGCCAGCTCTTCCTGTATCCCCTAGCCCAGGGGTGGGCAAACTTGTTGACTCGAGGGCCACAATGGGTTCTTAAACTGGACCGGAGGGCCGGAACAAAAGCATGGATGGAGTGTTTGTGTGAACTAATATAAATTCAAAGTAAACATCATTACATAAAAGGGTACGGTCTTTTTTTTTTTTTTTTTAGTTTTATTCATTTCAAACGGGCCAGATCCGGCCCGCGGGCCGTAGTTTGCCCACGGCTGCCCTAGCCCCATGGGATGATGGAGTGCAATCTCCCGTGAAAGGATCTTATGAACTTAGGCATCCAAGTTCATCTCTCCTTTCAAGGCGAAGACGCTCACAGCCACCAGTTGTTTCCGTACCAGCTCATCCAATTAGATGTCAGTGTATGCTTTCATTGTTCCTACTCAGATCTCCTAGCATCCTGGAGGCTTTTCCATTGTGTCCTATTGCCTCCAGCCCCCTATAGACTGTTCCCGATGGGATCTTCAATCCTGTGACAAGAATGCTCCTTGTGGTTCAGCGTTGACCCATGAACCAGGAGGTCATGGTTTGATTCCCAGTCAGTACACATGCCCGGGTTTCGGGCTCAGTCCCCAGTGTGTGGCACGCAGGAGGCAGCCAATCAATGATTCTCTCTCATCATTGATGTTTCTCTCTCTTCCCTCTCTCTCTCTCTCTCTCTCTCTTCCTCTCCTTTCCTCTCTGAAATCAATAAAAATAACATATATATTTTTTTAAAAGAATATTTCTTGTATGCACAAAGGATGGCCACTGTGTGTGTGTGTGTGTGTGTGTGTGTCACAAAGAGAGGGAGGGGGAGAGAATATGAGTGTGTGGCTGCCCTGTCAGCTCCCAGCTCAGAGCCTGTAGATACTCAAATGGTGACAGGAAAGGTGACAACAAAGTCAAAAGCACAGATACACCCCCCCCCTTCCTGCACAGCCCAGTCTGACTTGAATGTCCCCACCATGAACTTCCAAGATGAATTTTTTAAGGAGACTGCCTCTTTGCTACTAGAAGCCATTTAAGCATGACGCCTGGAGCCCAGCGACCTGAGTTCATAGTTCACCTGTGGCTAGGATGACATTTTGACAACTGCATGACCTTGAGCAAGCAATTTACCCTCTATGGGCTTCAGATTCCCCATCTGCATAACCACCACAATAACGGGTTTGCTGAGAGGATGAAATAAGTTCAACCATGTAACGCACTAGAACAGTGCCTGGCACATAGTAAGTGTTCAACAAATGTTAGCTAGTTTCACTACTCCAAACTAAAGTACTGGGAAGCCCTCAGGTAACTTGCAACATGAGAAATGAATACACACACAGGAAGGAAGTGGAAGTTGGCTTATACTTACAAGGACAAGTCCTTCAGATACCACCCATGTAAATTAATGATTAAAATAAAAGAAGACAGAAAGATTGGAACCACTTTTATCTCTACCAAGGTAGATTCTGACACTCCTTGGCCAGTGGACCAATCTCTGCCTCTGTAATCCTAACTTAGCAGGCCAAAGAGATTCTGGAAGATGGTAGGACATGGGTTCAAGTAGCGCGAAATTGTCACTTAGACTGACCTGGAATTCCCTCTTGTCAAGAATATCTCCTCCCTGCTCTCCAGAGAAGAGGGCCAATGTCATTTGCTGTGACTGGCCTCATGGTGAGTAAGACCTTATTTTTACAAGAGAGGTAGCATGGCATTTAGAAAGAGCCCAGCCTCTGGAGATAGAGATGCTATATATAAAATGCCAGTTCGATGCTTGGCACACACTAAGTGCTCAATAAATGCCATTCCTATTTACTATGGTTGTTACTCTGCAGTGGTTAATCCCGTCATAATCCTTGTGTCCTTCAATAAATCTGGACTTAGATTTGAAACAAATCCAACCTCGGGCCAGCACTGCCTGTCCCTGGAGATTCTCTCATTCCTGCAGAGCCCACCTTTTAGCTCCAGAGGTACAGATTCATCTATGGCTAGAATGACATTTTGACATGAAGCTATGTCCTTTCTCCTGCTCCAACCCCACCCAAGCAAGGAGCCTGCTTTGAATTCTGCTGTTTTGGAGAATGGGTAGAGAGGTTTGCAGAGGAGGAAAAAGAAAGGGTTAGCAAGAGTAGATACAGCGTCTTGGAAAGTAGATACAGAAGCTGGAGTGGGGATGGAGGAGCGAGTCTTTGCCCTCCTCATCAGCAAAGCAGGACATTTCAGGCAGCCGGTGTGGCTCAGTGGTTGAGCGTTGACCTATGAACCAAGAGGTCATGGTTTGATTCCTAGTCAGGGTACATGCCTGGGTTGTGGGCTCAATCCCCAGTGTGGGACATGCAGGAGGCAGCTGATCAATGATTCTCTCTCATCATTGATGTTTCTCTCTCTCTCCTTCCTCTCTGAAATCAAAAATACACTTAAAAAAAAGAAACTTGGGCCCTAACTGGTTTGGCTCAGTGGATAGGGCGTCGGTCTGTGGACTGAAGGGTCCTAGGTTCAATTCTGGTCAAGGGCATGTACCTTGGTTGCTGGCACATGCCCAGTAGGGGGTATGCAGGAGGCAGCTGATAGATGTTTCTAACTCTCTATCCCTCTCCTTCCTCTCTGTAAAAAATCAATAATATATATATATAAGAAACTTGGATGAGAGAGAAATATCAGCTGCCTCCTGCACACCCCCTACTGGGGATCGAGCCCACAACCAGGCATGTGCCCTGACTGGGAATCCAACCTTGGTTCATAGGTCGAAGGTCACCCACTGAGGCACACCAGCCGGGTTAGACCGTAAGCTTCTTGAAAGCAAGAGCATGTCTGATTCCTCCTTGTATTCCACCCCCACTCCTCTCACACAGAGCCTGGAACACTTCAAGAGCTCAGTAAGCATCTGTGGAATTGTGGACAGTGCACAAGTAATTATAGTGACTAATAAA